AGGGGCTATATATACAAGATTAAATAATGTTGGTAAAAAAGATAGCATCCTATATATACTCAAAGATGAGTGTGTAATCTTGTGGCAGAGAGGTGCTACATGTGTTGACAGTTGTGGGTTCAAATCCTAAAAGACACTCATTTTAAGTCTTCGTAGTGGCAAGTCTTGTGTAAACTAAGGCAGACTTTCCTGAATAAAACAATTGTCAAGTCATCTCTCATAAATTGTTTAATTTCTTGTTCTTTCTGAATTCAAATTTAGGGTCATCTTATACATTCTATTCTATTATGGATTCATTGTTGTATTTTTTGACCTAAAGTATCTCAATATTCACCACAATATTGTTTAAGCACCTATTGGTTGACTCTATCATTGCGCCAATTGGAAGATCTCGTGAGCACCCATCCAAGAGGAGACGGTGAATTAGGTGTTCAAAATTCAAACTTAAACCTAGGGCTCAATTTAATCTACCACTAGAAAAATCATAAACTACTCTTAGCAATATTCACACTTAAGGTTTTTCTAGTGTGCTCTAACTTATCCCCAGACAAAAAGAGTTTTGCAATCTAGAGCCAACCCTACCAACTAGCCTATAGCTAATCTACCAAGTTAAATGTCACACAAGCAAAGCATGAGCTCTATCAATGAACATGGTAAGTAAAGAGCTATGTATATAGAGGGTAAACTCCACGAAATGTGAAGATATATCCTATGTGTTGACAGCCAAAATTGTTAAGGAAGCTATCGGGGACCAATACCAGGGTACCCGAAGAGGAGAGCTTTAATCATCGAGCGTTGATTCGTCCGAGCAGTCAAGAGCGCAACTACAGCTCCAACCGACCCCCAGGTGCACAAACTCCGTCTCGCCCGACCCCTGAGGGTTGGCTCTGCCTCGCCCGACCCTTGAGGGTGGCTCTGCCTCGCCCGACCCTTGAGGGTGGCTCTGCCTCGCCCGACCCCTGAGGGTGGCTCTGCCTCGCCCAACAATGAGGCCGTGGGCTCCACCTCGCTCGACCCCGGAGGGTGGCTCCGCCTCGCCCGACACCGAGGCCGCGGACTCCGCGCTCGCCCGACCTCTAAGGGCTGGCTCCGCCTTGCCCGACCCTTGGGTTTGGGCTCCGCCTCGTCCGGCCTCTAGGGAGGAACTCTGCCTCGCCCAACCCCGAGGTCGGGGGCTCCGTCTCATCCGACCGAGACCCATACCGCCGCCAACCACTCCAGGTCCAAGCGTATGGGCCTGGATCAAAGCTCTGACACCAGGGAGGTGATCGGCACGCCCTGATATAACCCGTGGCCGTGACAGGCCATACCTAGGGATTCACATTAGGAACAGCGTTGGGCGAACCGGTGCTGTTCTGCCCAACCCTCGTACGAACACTGACAGGCGCGTTAGTTCGCCACGACCGGGAGACGACGCCTGCTCATGGCGCCAGTAACGGATAGGGCCGCGACGTGAAGCTGTCCCTATTGGCGTCTACAGGGTCGGCGGGACCCACATAGAAGAGAAGAAGGACCCGACGATCCTGGAGGATTTCTTCTCCTTCTAATTCTCTTTTTCCCTGCTATAACCCCTGCTTTCCCTTAGCCTATAAAAGGGAAAGCAAGGCGTCCCATTAGGGGGCATCGAAACTCATCGCAACACACCATAAGAGACTCGAATCCGATCAACTCATCAAACCCCGAACATACAACCGAGCAGCGACCGAGTTCTCGGTACCCGTTCAACTTTTCCATCAGAGACTTGGGACATGTCCCTCTCTCGTCCGTTTGTAACCCCTACTACGAACTTTTAGTGCTAGTAACACGAGTGGCAGCAACGATCTGGACGTAGGGACATTCTGCCCGAACCAGTATAAACCTCGTGTCCTCTTAGCACACCATCCGAACCAGATGTGCAATATTAGAAATTTACTTGTTGGTGGCAACTCGAAACACCGTCAGAAGCCTAAATGCAGAATTTCTAGCAGAAACAGGCTTAGCTGGTTTCCTAAATCGACTAGGTCAGTTTTGACACTTTGTTAAAAGGCATAATGGACCCCATTATTGTGCGTTCCTCTCATTGAGGCGATCGAGAAAATATTTATGGATCATCTCATTGGGAGTCTGGATGAAGAAAAGGCAATTTCGAGGGGGGCTGGTCCAGAAAAGCAGATTTAGCCGGTTTCCAAAACTGACTAGGCTGATTTTTTTTACTTCTTTAAATCAAAGAATAGATTGTACCATTGCATTCCTCTCAAGGAGTGAATCAAGAAACATAAAATCAATCTACTATCTCTCTTTACCCTCCTTTTCCATCTACTTTTCTCCTCGTTCTTCGTCGCCATGGAACCGCTTGTGGATCGACGATGGCGAAGCTCTAGAGCAGCCAGGCCGACTAGGGCATCCCATAGCCGCTGGCTTTTAAGAGACCACGTCGGCGTGTCTTACGTATCACGTCCCTAACGAGGCTCCTCCGGTGACATGTATTATCGCGCTCATCACCGAAAGCACAAGATTCGAATGCAAGCAATCCTAGGTGCTGGCGGACCAAAAGTTGGCTAAGCCCTATATCTAGCTCCTTACCAGTGTGTTGACCTAATTAAGCATCAACACGTCTCATGTATTTTGTTTGTGATATTTGTTTGCTCTGTTATGTAACTGTTGTTCGGTACTGCTACTGTTAACTGAGATCTGTCCTCACGTTAGAGTCAATCCTTTTACCACGGCCCACGGGTCGAGAGCCTGTAGAGGTTGATTCGTGTAACTTGTTATCCGGTACCGTACCACTACTGTTTCCCCGTTGAACCGTCATTAGTATCTGTCGCTCGAAGACGGGAAAAACTACACACCTGCTGCCTTGGTCTTTGTCAACTGAAGAGGAACTCAAGCATAGCATATTAGCATTAACGCCACAACGTCATTGGAGCGTAGACGAGAGAGTACGAGACCAGCCACCGGCCCATCTGAGACGTCAAAGTTATCCACCCTACCCAATACCCATGCTGTTCCGACTTCTAGAAGGCCATATATCTGTTGCGTCCTCAACGAGACGACAGATGACACGGTTGCTCGACGACAGCGACGCCGAGTCGCCGACGATTGAGGCCAGTACATGGTACTCCGTAGTTTGGAGTTGTTTTGTGCCGGTCACATAGAAGATATTTCTTCGCCATTGCATATGCAAGCGGTTCCAAGGCCAAATTCGCAGCAGCCAATGAGCCAACCGCCCAATCGATTGGTTTCCAGGTTCGCCGTATCTGCTCGCCGGCTGTTGCTGTCCTAGGTCGGCCCATGCAAATATGGCTCCGCCGGCGGGTCTCGTGACAGTGGCGGGGACCGGACGGAGGGGAGGGATTTGGTGGCTGTCTCGCAGCTTTTGGCCCCGGTCATTGGTTGGTCTTTGATTTGATTTGGGTTGGTGAAACCAACGAACGACCAGGCTTATGGCTCCGCCGGCGGGTCTCGTGACAGTGGCGGGGACCGGACGGAGGGGAGGGATTTGGTGGCTGTCTCGCAGCTTTTGTTGCCGGGGTACGGTACACATGGTGGGGCAGCCTCTGCGCCCTGGCCCTGTTGGCTGTTGTCGTGGGCAGCCCAGCAACGTCCAACGTGGTAGGACACGGATGTAGGAACGATGGCGGATTGCGTCGGTACGGAGGCAGCGCGGAACTGTGGATATTACCACTTGAAAGCTGCAGGTGCTAGTGCTGCCGCACCAGCGAACGAGCCTACGCAGTGCGCGGTGGACTGGTGGAGGACCGTGAACACTGACGAGACTAGCGACGAGGAGGGTTCGCGATCGGAGTATATATCTTTTTTTTTTTTGAGAGAGAGGCGATCGTAGTATTATATATCAAGTTTGAGTGGAGGCAGAACAGGCCACAAAACAAAGGTGCAAACAGCAATGGCTGGGGCTGGGCTAGGAGTTGCTTGGGCTAGAAGCGTAGTAAGTGACACCGACTTTCTAGGCTTCACGACAGCAGGCCTCATACTTCCATTCAGTCAGTTTGTTCCGTGGGTGGCGCTCAAGGCCTAGTTTCTGGGCCCATCATAATTGGGCTGCAACTTGCCAAGTTGCCCAGAATAGCCAGGGACGGCCCGATGGGACAACAACGCGCTCAGCGGTCAGATCGGCCATAAGATAAGCCCATAAACAAACACGGTGCTTCGCGCGCGGGTGCGTCGTTGTTGCTCTCGGTCGGCCGACGCCCTGTCACTACCGCGCGGCGGCAAAGCAGCGTGCGGCGCCATGCCCCCTTGTGCCTTGTACAGCGTACCGTCCACGAGCCACTGAACCCGACGTCGAGCTCCAAACCTCCCTCCGACGCAAAGCTGTGGCTCCGCCGCTTCCACGCCGCGCGCGCGCGGCGGGGTCGGGTGCCATGTGCGCTGCCACCCGCCGCGGCTGCCGCGAACCTCGGCCGCGCGTGGGCGCTGGCCCCCGCCCCCGCTGTCTGATGTCTGTCCGCGTCCGGTGCTCTGCTCCGTGCCTCCGTGCTCTCCCCCGCTCCCGCACGGCCACGGCCACGGCCACGCCCAGCCCCCAGCCCGTGACAGGATGACAGCAACGCCGCACCGTCGCGGGGATACGAAATTTCCCGAGCCCTGGCGCCTTGTGGCGGCGCGGTGGACCACGTGCGTGCAACAGCCGTTCCATTTCCACCCGGTTCGGCTAGGCTACGAGAAAAAAAAAAGGCACGGCAACCAAAAGCAGGCCGTTGCATGTCCATGTCCTCCTCGCAAAAAAAAAAAAGGTGCAGGTCCTCAGATACAGATACTTGTGTTTGGTTGGCTGCTCCGTTGGATCTTGGGTGATCTTCAACTCCCTGATCGGTAGGCTCAAGCTGAAGCTCCATGGAAATGGGCCCAAGAACACGACATGAACAGTCGAGATGCAATTGGACAAGTGCAGGTGCACGAATCCAAGCTCTCTGGATGCCTATATAAGGTCCTCGGCACCACGCATCACCACACACACACACACTACAATTACAAGTATTCCAGATAAGCACGGTCCGAGGATGGCGCCACCGATATCCGCCGATGCCTGCTTGGTGGAGGCTGCCTCGGCCGTCGCCGCGTCCCCAGCCATCGCGCCAAACGGAATGGTTCGCAAGGACGTGCGCGCGCCGGCGGCCATCTCTGTCGTCTCGAAGCAGACGGTTCGGCCTGCCGGCGCGTCGGCGCCGGTCGGAGGAGACCTCAGGCTCTCGGTGTCCGACATGCCGATGCCATCGTGCCACTACATCCAGAAGGGGCTCTTCTTCCCTCCGCCGCCTCCCGGCGTGCTCACGACGGCCTCGCTGGTGTCGTCGCTCGTGACGGCGCTCTCCCGCGCGCTCGGCATCTTCCCTACGCTCGCCGGCCGCCTAGTCACGCTCCACGACGACAGCATCGTGATACGGGTTCTACCACGCCGTCGCGCCGTCCCTGTCGCGTGGCGACTTCCTAGCTCACCGTGCCGACCGGTCTCACGAATGCCCTGTTCCCCATGGACCGGACGGTGAGCTACAGCGGCCACGCGCGCCCGCTCACGTCGTTCCAGCTCACCGTGCTCGGCGACGGCGCCGTGTTCGTCGGCTTCGTCGCCAACCACGCCGTCGTGGATGGCACTTCTTCAACACGTGGGCGGGGCTGTGCCGCGGCGCGCCGATCCAGGAGCCCGATTTCCGCCGCAACTTCTTTGGCGACTCCACCGCCGTCCTACGCTTCCCCGGAGGCGTGGGCCCGGCCGTCACGTTCGACGCCGAGGCGCCGCTCCGCGAGCGGATTCTCCACTTCAGTGCCGCCGCGATCCGGGAGCTGAAGGCGACGGCAAACCACTCGAAAAGAACAGGTCATCAAGACGCCGAGGCTAACGGCAAGCTCGTGCATGACTCCAGACTTCATGGGCGTTGTTCCTCTGAAATCTCATCGTTCCAATCGCTGTGCGCGCACATCTGGAGGGCCGTGACGCGCGCGCGGCGGCTGTTGGCTGACGACAAGACGACGACGTTCCGCATGGCCGTGAACTGCCGGCACCGTCTGCGCCCGGCGATCTCCCCGCTCTACTTCGGCAACGCAATCCAGAGCGTGGCGACGACGGCGACCGTGGCCGAGCTGGCGTCCAACGATCTGGGCTGGGCGGCGGCCCGGCTGCACGCCACCGTGACGTCGCACGAGGACGGCGCCATCCGGTGCGCTGCGGCGGAGTGGGAGGCCGCGCCCCGTTGCTTCCCGCTGGGCAACCCCGACGGCGCGGCGCTCACGATGGGGAGCTCGCCTCGGTTCCCGATGTACGACGGGAACGACTTCGGGTGGGGCCGCGCGCTCGCCGTGCGGAGCGACCGCGCGAACAAATTCGACGGCAAGATGTCCGCGTTCCCCGGCCAGGCGGGGGACGGTAGCGTCGACGTGGAGGTGTGCCTCGCGCCAGACACCATGGCTCGTCTCCTCCTCGACGAGGAGTTCTTGCAGTATGTGTCCTCCCCTGCACCGTGACACGGTGACAGAGTGAAGCGCCTGATGCGTGGCATGGCATGTTGCTGCGGAGCTCCATATAGTTACTGGATTTGTACCCTTCCAGTTCCAGAAGATACCAAATGCATGTCAGCTTGAATGAGTTTGAGTGACCATGTAGAGATGATGTTCTGCTGTTTCCTTGTGATGACGCCGTTGTAGGCTAGCAGCGGTAGTTATGGCCTCTGACTCCGAGCAGGGGTGCCAAAACGGTTATGATAGGTGGATTATGGTTTTTAGGCCCGTTTAGAACGTGGAATTTTTTATTAATCAAGGATTTCTCATGTTAAATTAAGTTAATTCTTGTGAAATTCTTGAGACAAGGACAGTGATAGATACTTGTAGATTTTTTCTCTCTTATCCTAAGCACTGAGATAGGGTCACATACAACATTTTAGTTGGGCAAATATATTGCATTTTTAGACAGTAGTTCAAGTAAAATGCAGCTCACCAAACAGCGTAATCTCTGCCCACCCTTGTTTCTCCCTTGCCGGCGGTCAAAAAAGTGGAGACCTGCTTTCTTTATAGATGAAGTTTATCGATAATGCTCTTCCCAGGGCGACTGTATGTCCGGATACCGCCCATCCCAGTCAGCGCCGCTTGCTTCCGCTTGTCACGCGTCCCGCCCGTGTCGCTCACTCCCGTCTGCGCTTGCCCGCCGCAGGCACCGTGCCCCAACTGTCGCGACCTTTCCCCAGCGCAGGGTGTCGCGCCACGGGCACCGCACCCCATCCGCCGCAGCCTTTCTCCAGCGCAGGGGCGTCGTGCCGCGGGCACCGCACCCCGCCCGCCCCACCGCAGCCTTCTCCAGCGCGAGGGTCGCTCACCGCGGGCATTGCACCTGCCCCACCCGCTGCACCCCCACTCTGCGCCAGCGTCGATCTCCGTGCCGGCATCGAGCTCTGCGTGCCGACAAGCCTCCATTCGTCCAAGCAACAAGTAGATGTTGCATTGAAAGCACATGTTACAAGCGTACGTTTCAAGTATTCCTCATGTTTCAGAGCTATGTTGCAAGTATTTATATCGATGTTCCAAAAGCAGATCGAGATGTTGCACATATTGCAATGTCTATACACTTATGTTTCAAGTGTATATTCCAAATGTTTTATCTGTTTCAGACGTATGTTTCAAGTGTCTTTCACTTGGATGTTGCAAAAGTGGATCTGGATGTTGCATATATATGCAAGTGTTGCAGGTATTTCATCTGGATGCTTGCATATGTTTGCAAGGGCTACACACATGTTTTCAAGTTTTTCTGGTGTTTCTGCAAGTGTTTCAGACATATATTGCAAGTGTTTCAGCTATTTCGGACATAAGTTGTAAGTGTTTTGTCTGGATGTTGCAAAAATAGGTCGGGTATTGCACATGTTGCAATGGGACACAACTGCCACAGCCGCCTGGTGCAGCTATTGGGGCGGCGGCGTGGGTCACCGTACAGGCTCCTAAGGCCGGCAGACGCATCCGTAGCGCAACATCCACAAGCAGGGGCAGGTGACTGGGACCCACATGGGTTCCTGCCTGCAGGCACGGTGGTCAGGGAAATCAGAGCGAGCGTGATGATAGGGTGGTATGCAGCGTGGGGTCCACACGGTGGCGCGCGCGAAAACAGACGGCACAAGCCTTTTCACGTGCGGCGCGGCCTCCCGCACAAAGGACCGGCGGCGTCCAATATTTTGGAGCAGCTCCGGACGTCCGGACACTCGTAACGCCCTAAGTTTATTAGTTTTTTTTTCTTGTCTATATATGGTATGGTTGATAGCGAATTTGAATAATTCTTCTCCAACCTCTTCTTACGTTGCCAATGTATGATAACTTTGGTGAAGGGCCACTGAGATTGGCACGCATAGAGTATCGAACAAGGATATTTGAATTTGTTTACGGTTGCTGCAATCCATATAAACAAACAACATTGGTCGGCCATGAGTTTGTTATCCACAACACTTGTAAAACCACAAGAGGGGTTCTTTCCCTTGTTGTTTCAGTGTGATTTTTAGAGACCTGCTATATGTCAGGTGTCTGAATTTTGCATCTAATCAGGCAATGATTTTTATTCATTGGATCTAAATCAGATGACTTTGGGGCTTCTTCTTCCTTAGTTTGTTTCCTTTCCGTTGTGAAGTGCCTTTGGTTCTCCTTTTTCAGGCGCCTGCACTCTAGGAAGCGTGTGATTTTTAAGCTCCAACGAGCGGCAAACAATCGAAGAAAGAGTGTTTTTTTATTTTAAGTTCCAATTTGGTCTTTGATGTACTCTTATTTTTTAAGATGTCGTTTTGTGTTACGTTGTCCTTCTATACTAGCTATTGTTTTCTTTGATAAATATTAGATTATGAGTTACTCTTTTTAATTAATTAATTTTTATTAGAAAACAGATATATAGATTTGGAGTGTTCTTAAGGAACATAATCAACGTTTAAGCTAGTGGGACGGGTGTTGCCTTGCTTTCTTGTTAGTTGTTAGCTAGCTATAAACACTGTTTGTATAAAAGATGTTTCTCTATTTGAAACCTGGCCCTCATATATGTATACATATGGTTCTTATCACAGACATCAACGGAAAATGTGAAACCATGGATTGATCACCACTCTCAACTCTCAACGCACGGCAATTACACAGTAAGTTGTTGCGTGCTCTGTCTCCCCTAGTCCACCTCTTTCAACACCACACAACCGTCGGAGCCGGAGACCATCCCGTTATCTAAGCTGCGCCGCCAGGACCTCCTGGACGTAGTTGGCCACCTCGACCGGCGACCTCCCGCCGCCGCAGGTGAGCTCCCTTGGAAGCTGATTCAGGAACGTGACCTCGTACGTCGGCCGTGGGTTCATGAAAAAGAAGTAGGGATCCATTCTCGTGAGCCCGCGCGCCGTGGACCCGTGGAACATGCCCTCCCTAGCGTCGATGGCCACGGGCACGATGCGATCGGTGACCTCAGTGAAGAGCGCGCCGAACCGCAGCAGGAACGGCTCGCAGCAGATGGTGCCCTCGGGGAAGATGATGACGTCGTCTCCCTCCTCGAGCAGCCGCCGGATGCGGGCAGCGGCGCCCGCGTCGTCGCTCTCGCGGCTGGGCACGGGCAGCGCCACGCCTGTCATGACAGGCGACCCGGGCTCCGAGAACCTGCTGGAGGCGCCGTCCGTGACCCATCTCACCTTGCGGCCCAGCGCGACGGCCACCGCGACAGGGTCGAGCGTGGTGAGGTGGTTGCACACGAAGAGCAGCCCCGGCCGGCCGCCCTTCTTGGACGGCGGCGGCCGGTTGCCGCGCACCACCAGCTTGACGCCCATAAGCTTATAGGCGTAGGAGAGGGCGCGCACCGGGAGGAGCAGGTGGAGATGCACGCGCATCAGCGCGAGCGCGAAGCCGAGCGGCATCCACAGGAAAGTGAGAAGCGTGTTGGTCGCCGTCGGTCGCCGGGCCAGGCGGCCGTCGTGGAGGATGACCCGGCTCTGAAGCTGCTCCCGGGGCAGCGCGCGGTACTTCTGTCGTGTTACGATGTACGCTTCCTGCACTCATGCGACACCATTAGCACAACGGACAGTGCATGTGCAGGCATAGCGTCATGCAGTAGCGATCAGCTGTGACAGCAATTACCCAATTACCCATTTCCAGAAAGTCCTGCAGGACCAGTGACAGCACAGCGTCCTAATCGTCAAGCTACCTTATCTCCTGCATGCGGACAACCAACTACTATTTGTACGTACAATTGGTGCATGTCTCATCGATGTCTGAGATTGCAATTTGCAGAATTGAGATCTAGTGGTCGAGGCATCGCATGGTACTTACAGACAGTACTCTAAAAAAATCGTACGATCACATCTCATAATTCCTTCGGCCGTGTGCATGATGCACTAAGCCGTCATCCAGCTTTGTACAATTTTAGCAGCAAACTGTACAGTAGAATGCATTCAATCAGAAGCTGAGAACACACACAGCTGAAGAAGCTATACTCTACCTTGCAGATGGACATGAAGTCGAAGTCGCTCTCGCGATCCCCCATGCCGACGTCCGGCAGCGCGTCCCCGAACTCCCTGACCACCGCCCGCCTCTTGTGCTCGCCGACGAGCACCCCGGGCCCGGCGACGAACCCCGTGGCCTTCCCGGACTCGCCCACCTCCATCTCCGTCCCGATGACCACGTCCGCGCCAAGGAACGCCCTGGCAAACGGCTCCACCAACACCCGCGGGCTGGCGGTGACGACGCACCGCCTCCCGAACGAGCGGAAGACGCGCCAGCCCTCCGGGTGGACGTCGCCGGCGTAGAACCTGGGGAGCACGGTCCGGGCGACGACCTCGATGTCGCTCGCCTCGAGCCCCGCCACGGCGACGTAGAGGAACACGCGCACGGCCAGGGTCTCGGACACGGCGACGTAGGTGAGGTACACCAAGGGCACGGACACGAGGAGCGCCAGGGCGCGGAGGAGGCTGCCGGCCTCCAGCGCCACGAGGAGGTAGTACGGGAACGCGCTGCGGGACAGGAGCAGCGTGCCGTCGAGGTCGGCGGCGACCGTCTGGCCCGACCGCCCCTCGGTGTCGCACTGCTCGATCGGCTCGAACCTTCGGGTTCGGGACACCATAGTTGCCTTACGTGAACAGAGATGAGTGTGGTGATTGGTGAAGGTGCAATCCTCGTCGCGGCAGGGATGGTCTATATGTAGATGTGGGTGACATTAAGTTGTTTTCGTCTCTCCTGTCAACTGATTTTTTTTTACGTATTTACAGTGTCTTCTAGCTATATTTACACTGTCTGTGTAATTTATTGAACACGATGGTGTAATTTGGAGATAATACAAATATATGCCAAATTTTTCAGAAATACTTTCAAATTATTTTTATGAATTGCAGATACCAGAGAAATATATTTCAAAATTTTCATAAATTTCAAAATAAAATTTTCCAAATTGTGGTGGGACCCACCTCCCCAACCTTATCCCTTCCCTTCCGTCGCCTACGCACTTTCATTCCCTTCCCTTCCGCTGAATGCGCACGCAAACAGAGTCCGGAGAAGAAGCAGCAATGGTGATCCGGCCTGGGGGTGGCCCTCCTCATCGGCCTCATCGTAGCGGCATCGGCCCTCCTCGTCGCCCTCCTCATAGTCGGCCGTCGGCCCTCCTCGACGCCGGCCACCGGCCCCGCGCCGCGCCCGCCGGGCCGCGAGCTCTAAGGCTGGCCGCACCTGCTGCCTCGCCAGCCCTCGCTGACTGCGCATGCCTCGCCTATTTGTCGGCCGCGCCCCTTGCTAGCCGCCCGCGTAAGATCAGATGGCCCAAAAATCAGTTGATTGGAGAGGCGAAATCAACCGGTTGAGGTTTAGCAGTTCTGTATATATATGGAAGAGGGTTATGAGTCAATCTGCTACGGTGAATGCTGCAGATAAAAGATGGGGATGGTTGAACCATGGATCGAACCGGAGCTGATCAAGCGATCCATTTTAACGTACACGGGAGCAGCGGTTACTCCATTTAGGGCGTGATTGGTTGCTTCGACATTGGTGATCTGGGATGGGGGCCCTGTGCAGGCTCTTCCCAGCCATGATGGAAGCATGCAAGTGGGTGTGTTTGGTTGCATCCGAGTACAAGATACCAGATGACCTACATCGTGTTTGGTTCCCCGTTTACACCGTTTTGGTGTATGAACTGGTGATTCCAGGTCTTGTTTGGTTGGCCGCATTACCCTAGGTCTGAGTACCCATGTATGAGTTTGGTGTGGTTACCACCAGCTATTGCAGAATGAAGAACAATAGAAGGAAACATAGATAACTTTGCCTCAGTTCAACAAGCTTGGCATTGACAATGACCTTGGAGCTTCTAATGACATAAACATGACAATAGTACTCCCAGCAAATCATGAACAACAAAAGTCACAGTTTCTCACAAGGTCATTGTCTTTACACGTGTTCATAGCATTTTGAAACCATCACAGGCAATATGAAACAATTAGAGGCACCTACAACAATGCTTAGCAATGAAAAAGACAATCACCATCAAAATAAACGACTGAACCAAAGCAATAGCCAGTAACCAAGGTATTTTAGGGCTTGATTGGTTGCCCGAAGCACCGCAAGGAGGCATTTTAGGGCATAGACCCCAGGCTCCTTACCCCGATAGACAACATACCAAGCCATGTCATTTTGAGCATCATAGGCAGTTGTAGCAACGAGCAAGAACGAACCACATGAGCACCAGCAACAAAAAAGACTACACCACAGCCACAACAAATAACACCGGTTTGTTCCTGGCCACCTTTGGTGGAGGATTGACAAAAACTTTATCATCTTCACAACCCATGAACTCCAAGTATGATGCTTCTGCCTCTTCTTTGTTAGGGAAGTTTTTGTAGCTGTTGTTTTTAAAACCAGTTACCTGGGCATTGCATCTAGCCTAGGTTGCATATACCCCAGAAACTCCGCCTTGGTACACAACATACCAAGCCATTTGCTCCTTAAAAAACACATAAAAGCAAGTATAAGATGTTGATAAGATGAGAGGTAGTTCAATCGATTTACCTCAGATTTAATTGCCTTTTCATTTGACCTTGAACTTGGAGCTTAAAAAACATAGACATCAACAAATCTCAAACAGATAGTAGAAAACCAAGATCATGATAGGCATGAAACCATGAGAGACATCTAGCCTAGCCATTAGATCATCACAACCGCCCAGCTGTTGCTTGGGCATGGATGTCTCACATGGTTTAATGACAGCCATGAGAAACATAAGCAGAAGATAGAAGAAACAATGCTCCAGTATCTCACAAGTCCAAGGTCATCAATGTGCATAATTCATTACTCAAACTAGCACTATTATCTTCATAGGCATGAAAAGAATCTCATAATTGTATCAGCCTTAGTCAAAAAATGGTTGACATCATAAGCACACAAAAACGTAGGCCTCAGCTAATGTAAACTAACTTATGATCATCTTACAAACTAACTGCAATCATCTCAGGTGGTAAATAAGAACACAAATTGCTGAGGCAAGTTCATGGCTCCCATGGAAGCGTGGGACACGTCCATCTCAACCATCTAGTAGGCATGCCTACAACAGTTGCTTTGGAATGAACATATCCCATGGTTTGATGACAGATATGAGAAAACGCAAGAAGACAATAAAGCACCAACAGGAAGAATACCCACAGCCACATCAGATTGCTATAGTTTGCATCATCGGCCAAATAGGAACTCCAACAATAAGAATAACAAGAACAGTAACAACATCTGAAATGTCTCAGATCAACTAAGTGACAAACCAAGGTATTTTAGGGCTCAGATCAACTAAGTGACAATCCATCACCCGTTGTTAATGTCTACACCACACAGATCAACAAAAGCCTCACATCCATCACCATGGCTCCTATGCTATTCCAAACTAGGTGCAACCTTGGTCAGGCGGTAAATGGTTCTTTGTAACATCAGATGAGATAAGTGCTACACATCAAAATACTTCCTACAGCATAAGACAGTTAGCATGACTATATGCAAAAGTGGAGAGGCCAACTCATATGCATCTAAGCAAAGTAGGTTGTGCTCAGGTAGGTCCTAAGCCATAGGATCCTATGAGCCTCTATCATCTGAACAAAGCAAAGTCCCTCAGGCTTGTTCTTTAGCAGGTAAATCAGGGCAAACATGAGTGCCTCCTGTGAGTACCCAGGGCAGTCCATAACACAGCCATAAATATCCTGAGGCACCTCATTATGCTATGGAGTCTTGAGGGCATCTCCTACAGACTCCACAGCCTTGATCATTCCATTCATGAGGTCTATTTCCTCTAGAGAAAGCTTCCTTCTCTTGCCACCCCTTTCCTCCTGGCCCTTGGCATCAGAACCCTTAGAGCCTTCCATACCAGAAGAGTTCCCTTTCTAGAATCAGCCTATGTGCCACCTAAGTCAGTGATGTCCTCAACGACATCAATATTACCTTGGCCAATGTTAGTTGGAGTACTCAGAGGCTCATTTGAGCCCATTGCATACCTTGTGGCCTGGTTACCACCCAAGATGGCCTCCATCTAAACATAGTTCTCTATTGGTGTGTTCAAAAACTTAGCTTAACTTGGGTCTTGTATGGGTGGAAAGGCTTGTTGTCCAATATCCTGAATCTATTCTTTAGAGCCCCAAAAGCCCTCTCAACTGTTACTCTAAGAGACGAATGCCTTAGATTAAAAAGCTCTCTTTAATTTTGAGATCGATTTGAACCAAACTCCCTCAAATGGTACCTTGTGGCACGAAATAGTGGCAAGAAACCAGGCCTCACTGCATAACCAGCATCGACAAGATAGAATTTGCCTAGAAATTAGCAGATAGGAATATGTTTTAGTAGTTTTATTTAGGATTAAGCAAAGTGTCAATAGTTTTTTGTGGTTTGGATGATACCTGGTGGCACTCTAAGGCCATCAGCTCTTTCAAGAGCATCAGACAAGATAAGAGTATCATGTGCAGATCCCTCCCAACCAGCAAGCACATAGGTGAATCTTTGGTCAAAGTCCATGGCTGCCAACACATTTGTGTGATGGTGTGCTTCCTACCTCTAAAGGCAGCTTGCATATTCACATGCACTCTAGCTAATACATGAGTACCATCAATTGCTCCTATGCAGTCCTAAATCAACAAAACATAAGTGTAAGTGAACATTGACACTAAACTGATAATGAATGAGACATATATATGATAAGTTATGGATACCAACCTTAAAATAGGGGTACCACCTTCTGCTCCCAAGGATCCTATGATGGACATTGGTAGCAGGAGGGACAATCAATTCATTCCTCAGCTCTCCTACCGCATATAACACCTTCTAGAAGAACCTACTAATTATCTCTACGGACCTCTTGAAGGCGAGGTCAACCACCCTAAACCTCTCATTGTGACCAACAACATGCAAGAACATGGCTACTTGTTCTTCAACAGATGCATGTATGCTGTCAGTGACAAGCTTTCTACTACTGAAAAGGTCACAAAGTTGAAAAAAGGGGCCCTCTTCATTCTAAGAAGGTTGACACAGTGCACATCATTAGATTCATAGATGTATCTAAGGTTGTTCATCCTCTGTTTGTCCCTCTCAGCCAAGGGACCATAGGTGACTGAGCGCGAATCTTCAACTCTCCTCCTAAACCACATGAAAAACTAAGCAGCCACTACAACAACCACAGCAGTAGTAGCCCTACGCCTAGCTTCAAAGGCCATGTTTACCAACAGGATGGAGGGCAACATTAGAAATGGAGCATGCAACATGGGTGTGTACTGCTTAGCAAGCAAAAAATCAGACAAAATGAACTATGAAAGACGCGGCTGCCACACCAAAGGGTGCTCCTCCAGCGTATACTATTACACAATCAACATCACTGACCTCTAGGCACTTTGCTAAGTGTGTACAACAAAATAGGCATCAGCATGTACAAGATCTACACAAAATATGAGGTATAAACCAAATACGAAGCATCATGTACAGATCTGAGCTAGGAATAGGTAAATTAGGTATAGCATCGCACAGATCTGAGGATGTCAAACCATGAACCCTAATTTCTTGGCATTTCAAGCAAAATCCACCAACAAATCAATAAAATCGACACTGAAGGAGGAGGGG